ACGGATATTTCGACGATTGCGCATTAAATATATGAGGATACGCACGCGAGTTACAATATCACACGTTAAACGTCACGGCGAGCTGAACATACGGAGAGGACATTTTATTTAACAGTCAAATGTGGCACGAATTCCTCCCCGTTTGCCCTCGGGTGCGAGTCCCCATTCGTCCATTAGAGCGCTGCTATGTGTGTATGTGTATGTGAACCGCGCTGCTGCTGCGCGCGAGCGAGCGAGCGTTTCGACATTTTACGACATTCTCCCATCCTTGACGACTCTCGAGGACCACAACATTACCTAAAGGCTAGTTGAAATTTAGATCGTGAATAACCCATGAATGATCATAATCGCTGACTACTGACTCTTGTGAATCTATGTAGATTTTAGTGCGATTTGTGAGTCTTGACTGGTGTACGTTACTGTGTTGTATTAGGTAGTTGGTCGCCTCATGCTCTCTAGTGGCAGAATGCGGCAGCACCACTGATCTATATATATTCTCTATTATAGATCAGTGGGCAGCACTCATGTACATATGATGCAGCTACATTAACTAAAGGCGCTTGTCTGTTTTTATGGGTTTGTCGTTATAATTTTCTTACAAACAACACTACACAGAGTTAGCCTTTCTGTTAAAAGCAATAACGTTTGATAACGTTTAATAACGGTCCAATGATGAGGTGCCGATTTTTATTTATTTTTAAACCCTTAAACCGTGGGGATAATTTGTGTACGCTTTTCTCAGTCATTTACTATTAGATTCCCCATACTTTACCATTAACTATTATTATTCTGTATTTCAGTGTTTCCAATCTTGTGAATCCGCTCACCCACGATTCGTTCAGTGCATAGAGGTCCAGTCTATTTCTGAAGGTTACGCCAGTAGGGGGGCGTCAAGTGAATATTTCTGTGTGTTCTGAACCGAGTCAACATTTTGGAACGAGTTGTGTACTCGTAATCTACCAGAGAAGAAAAAAAGAAATATCAGAATGTATAACCACTTTTGATATCATCATCATCATTATGATTATTATTACAAATACAGATTCAGTACATTTTTGCTGTACATTATTAGCTACTAAATTTCTAATGTACGTTTTTTTTTAGTAGACTGTAATTATTTAATGTCTATATATGTCTATGATAAAACAACTCTCAATGTTTAACTCCATATAAATGTTTTTCTCTGGCTTTTGTTTTATTTATTTATTATTTAACCAACAACCTTGTTCAAATGCGGCTATACTTGTAATTCACAGCAGATTTCAATATTATTATTATCTTATTATCTTAAAATTTCTGCATCCACAAATTTGCAAGACTCCAGAAATAATGTTAAAGCATCATATACGCTTTCCTTCATGATGCCAACTACTTAGCCTGACTTACAAATAGTTTTAAATGCCGGTGTTCTGACGATTTGTGCACCTGGACACACCGAGCCGACTTCAAAGAACTAGCAGCGAATACTGTGCCAACCACTAGTATTGGCACCCTCGGTAAATATGAGCAAAGGCGGCTGTAAAAATAAATCTGCATCGTTTATCTTTCTGATCTTTCATTCAAAAAATTCTAACCTATCATAATGGAGTAAGTTCAGTGCCGTGTTTTGCAGAGCTGCACGTGAAACCGGAGATGAAGAATGACTGACAAGCGTCCCTTTCGTTTTCAACCAATCGAAGTCGAGTATTCCCCCGAGGCAGTGGCCAATCAGAAAGAGCGGAGCGGTATTTGAATCACCAGCAGGCCCTTTGTGTTTTACGGCTTGTTTTGAGTTGAGTTGAGTTGAGTTGAGTTGGACAGGGAGCACTAAGCGAAGCTACACTGTCCTTTTTTAAAAACGTTTTTAAGGTTTTATTTAAGCAAGGGCCCTCGCAATTAGCATATTCGCCATGGAAATTCACGCTTTGGTGAGTATTTGATGCAGAAACATGTTTTTGATTTATCTGATAAAGTCTTGCTATGTGTAGCGTCAACCCCGCTTCAAGTAAGCTGGCTTAAATTGCTAAGAGCGGTGTTGAAGTGGCTTTTAGGAAGATTCCTTGAGTTTTTAATGACCTTTTCCCGTACAGCGCAATGCAAACAACCCTGTTTTTATCGGTGGCAAAGGCGGCCCTGTAAACGGCGCAGCGAGGAGGGCCGTGTTTGGCGAACTGTCCAACTTTAACGTTACCCACAAACCAGTTCAGACTAAGGTGCGTGTCTTTATTTACCACCATGCAACGTGTGCATTTGAACAGCATGTTGTTACATATTACTCTTTCCTCTCTGCTTTTCAGAAGGTTCAACCCGTGCTGCCTGTAAAACCAATTGCTGTTGTGCAACCCAAACGTGCCCAGGTACAGCACGAGATCCCCCAGCCTGCCCCTGCGTTGCCCCCTGCTCAAGCTGATGTGAGCATGAAGGAAGAGGAACTCTGTCAAGCCTTTTCCAACACACTCTTTCCAGTCGAAGACATCGATGAAGGGGACGCTGACATGCCACAGCTGTGTCCTGAATATGTGAAGGACATCTATGCGTATCTGCGAAGCCTTGAGGTACCTTACACTTAAAAAAAAAAAGTAACATCTTTATTTGACCTTCATGCTTCCTACAGCTGCTGTCCTCTTGTTCCAGAGTCAGCAGTCTGTTCGTCCTCTCTACATGCGTGGCTATGATATCAATGCGCGGATGCGCGCGCTCCTGGTTGACTGGCTGATTCAGGTGCACTCCAGATTTCAGCTCCTGCAGGAAACCTTGTACATGACCGTAGCCATCCTTGATCGCTTTCTCCAGGTACGAGTTGCCCAAAAGTTATTACAAAAGGAGTAGCTCTTTACAATAAGTTTCCATTTGTTAGTATTAGCTAACACGAACTAACAACAAAAAAAAGCTTCAATATTTACTGATACATTAAAGTCAAGTTGTACCTGTTAATGTACTCATTTTAACAAGCTTAAAATGAGCAGCTGCTTTTTTTTTTTTAAACAATTAAAAAATGTAATGAATATACTAATAACTTATGTTTTGCTCATTTGTTGGTTAATGCATTAACTTAACTAATGGGACCTTTATTTTAAAG